AGAAAAGTTTTCTAAATTGTCTCGTGACAAAACCTTTTCTCTTCTAAAGTCATATCTTTTGCATCCATCCACCATAATTTCATTAGCCTAGGGGACCTAAAAGTTCATAATCCGGACCTGTGGACAATTTTCCTTATATAGGGGTTAGTAGAATGAAACAAGCTGTTTTTGGAGAGTCAAGATAAAGTCCTACAGAACACATGGCCCAGTGGATAAAAGCGTTGGTTAGATCCAGTGACTTGACCCAGAGTTGTGAGTTCAATACCTGGCTACTGAAGTGGTGAACAAAAAATTGGCGAGTTGAGTTAAAGTAAGATAACTGAGACATCGAGAAGAGGCATAAAACGTGGAACTAGAATAATCTACTCCAGTGGACAAAATAAAGGGTTCAGTTCAAAATTTCAATCATCTGAAGATGAACATACAATGGCTGAAATGTTGTGGATACAGTGAAGACAGCAGCCTGAACAATGTAAATATTGTAAATAATTAAAATACCACATCTCAGAAATATAGACATATATCAAAATAAAGTGCTTCAATTGGTCAATAAATCTGTTTTCTTTCAAACTATAGCAACTTATCCAGATATTGTCATTTGAAGTTCAAATTTCAAGATTTTAGTTCAAAAGTAGTTTTTCTTATTGGCTCTAAAATAATTACTTATTAGATTTAAATCTATGCTGAGCCATATTTGACGAATTCACTTTAAGTTACAATTTTAATTGAGCAAATTATATAGAGATTAATTTTAAAAGCTTTTTCAGTAATTATCTATAATGATTTTCTATAACTTAATCTTTAAAATGGTTTCTCTGTTTTTATTATTGCTTCTACAGGTGCCAATGCGAGCAGCTTCTTTGAACTCCAGTAATGTGTTTGTCATATTTGATGGTCACCGAAGCTATATTTGGGCTGGAAAGGTAACAACTTTTGTTTCATTAATTTAACACTTTGAATTCTATTCATCTGTAATTGATTACATGCACAATAAAATAAGAACAAGTTTTTTTGTCATAAAATAATAATAGCCCTATTTTAAAAAATGCAACTGTTTCTAATTTTTATTGCTGCCACAGATTCTAATGTTAAGATATCAAATTTTCCACTTAGAGTTGCTTAATGCATATTGTAATATACAGTTGTCCATCAGTATCCACAAAAAGTTGATTCCAGGACCCCTACTGTGGATACCAAAATCTGTGGATAATGAAAGTTCTTTATATAAAACAGTGGAATATTTGCATATAACCTGTAGTGACTGCTATGCTTTTCCATGCCCACAATTTATTCATCTGCAATTGGCTAATAAATCAGTACTGCCTTTCTATAGAACAATTTAGCCATTGCAGTCGTTGCTTTGAATTTTTCAGTTTTGAACTTGCTTACTTGTTTCGTTAGTACAAATTTAGCGATTGGTCAATTTTAACCAATCACATATTTTAGTGCAAAATCAACTTTTCCCGCGTTTTCGCTGGGAGCCTATCTGTAGCTTTAAAAGAGGCGACTTTTTCACAAGCCGCCAGTAGAGTCCAGCAAATTTCACCTGTCAACACAAACCTATGACTTTACTCACAACAATTTCAAACACACACACAGACACAGAATTTTGTTATATATATATACATATCTCTCTATGACTCAGCCAAGTTCAATCAACTAGGACTCTGTTGATTTCTCTAACACAACACACTTTCTGATCAATTGTATTCTTGTGTTATCTATTCTAACAGCAGACTTGTTCTAACATTGATTCCTGAACATTTCTCTTTCAAGAGAACTTTCTTTCGAGCAATCAATTACAAATCAAAATACAGGAAAAAGGGAAGCAACTTCTTTTCCCTTAATCTATACATTGAATACAAATTATTGTATATTTTGTTCTTGTATGTTATTTCACTATATACTTGTTGATTATTCACATTTGGAGTTTTGTTGTTTTCTTGAATCATTAATAATACAAAAAGTATATGTGCAAAGAACATGCATAACAAACCTACACACACCTGCTGTGTAAATAGAATATTTTTTAGGTTATATAGAATACCCAGTACAATGTAAATCCTATATAATAGTTGTTATTCTGTTGCTATGAACAAAAGCTTTTCCACAGATATTGATATCTGAGAACAAAAAAATTGTATAGAAGCATATTTTATTGGCAAAATTGTGTTGTTAATAATTTTAGTTTCTGTATAAGTTAAATCTTATGAAGAGTAATTGGCCATGTTTAAATGTAAATGGCAGAAATACCCAACAAGCAAAAACTGACAAAACTTTCAATGAAAAGAAAGAAAAAGAACAGGGCAAAAATAATACTAAGAAACAATATATACAAGACAAAATTTGGCAACTTAATAGTAAAGAGGCAAAAAAGTTCACAAACTAAAAATGACATTAACACACAAAACGGATACAGACAAGCCATCACAGCATTCTGATTTCAAGACAAGAAAGAATAAGAATATGGCAGATGAGACTGTGATTTGTCTATATATTTGGGGAGGGGGATGTTGTTGTAGCCATTCCAAGACAGATTGAACCAACATCTTATATGGCCTATGATATGTGAAGAGCCTCGACCTGGAAGTAGACATCCACATGAGCAATAAAGCAACCCCTAGTCTGTACACAAGAATTAGGTAAAGACAAATTTGGTCACACAATTATTTTTTATCATCTTACACCAAGCAAGGCAATAATGCCACAAAGACAGAAGGGGTTAATGGGAGAGAAAGAGAATAAGAAATTTTAGTGAGGAGAAAGAACAATACAAGAACAGGTTTCAGGAAGATAGAAGATGATGATTGGTGGTGAGTTTAAATTTTTGAAGATTTCAGGTGACAGGGAATCAAGAAACTGGAAAAGTTCAACAGGCAAGAAGTGTGAGATTAGAAACTATTAGAATAGAACATATAATTGCATCTAGCTAGTTCAACCATAAAACGGTGAGACCTAGTTACCAATGTAGTAGCAAGCTTAAATTCATGCAGTCAAGGTACCAAAGAGGAAAGCCCATCAGAACAATTACCATGGAAATATTTATAGAAAAGTCAGAAGGAAGCCATGTCACAGTACTCAAGATACTAGGTCAGGTTCAATAACATTAAAGGACCTTTGGATTGTTTGTCAAGAATTTCAAGATATATAGTAGGAGCACCAGACTAAACATGACAGCAATATTCAATGCACAGATGAATGATAGGTATATAAATGTGCAAGATAGATTATAGCTAGAAAAATTGTATGGCATGACACAATGAACCAATTTTCCTAGCAGTAGACATAGCAACTGATTCAATATAATCTCTCCACTTCATGTCAGTGGAATATATGGGCCCAAGAAGGCACAAAGAGTTGCTCTCCTGGAGGTTAGCATCAGCCATGCTGATGGAAAGCAGATAAGGTCCAAAAAGTATTCATTGTCCATGTGATGTAATTACAAATAGATAAAGAAATATTTGAAAGTGGAATAAGAGTCCCTCTTTAGGGTGGGTGTTGAAAAAACATCAGTTTATTCATATGAATTCAGTTTGATAGAATGCAAATTCAAATTTTGCTTTTTTGGAACTTTTCTGAAATTTTCATTTGAAATCCTTTTCAATCTTCTATTGGTGGAATGTGAAACCTGCAGATACAAATAGCTGACTACATATATATATATATATATATATATATATATATATATATATATATATATATATATATATATATATATCTGTCTATATTTCTGAGATTAGGTATTATGATTACTTACATTTTTGGACTGTTATCCTCATCTTCATTGCCATATTCAGTGAATATAGCAATCAAGATGAGGATAACAGTATGAATAATGTAAATAATATATATATATATATATATATATATATATATATATATATATATAGACAAGAAAATTCTTAAAAATCTATCTTGATTATAATTCATTTCATGAATATAATTTAAATATTCATCACTTCAGACTGAGGTTTTAGAAATGAAATCAATTTGTCCAGATTAAAAAAAATAAAGAAATTGTGAAATTGTGGTGATTATAATGCACATGAATATTAGACATATTACTGTATCTTTTTTAATTCTGGTCACCTGCTACTCCCTTATCCTGTATATTAACTTGTTCAGCCCTTTAAGGAAAAATTTATTTCTAGGTCAACCTATTGGCTCATATTTAATTCTTCCTTCTTTCCTTTCTTTTCCTTCCTCTCTCTTTCTCTTTCTCTTTTCCCTAAACTTTTTTTCTTTTTTTAAATTTTATAATGAAATTTTTCTTTCTTCCTCTTTTATTATAAAATTTTTCCTTTTCCTTTTTCTTTCTGGACAAATTTATTTCATTTCTAAAACAACATTTAGTCTAAAGAGAAAAATATTTAAATATAATCATGAAATAAATTTTATTTATTTATTGACCTGACAATTCCATCTAGCATGATAACAGCCTGTCACCTCTAAGTGTTGACTTCAATGTTCCCTTTTATATTTACACATGCTCTATCTATGTTATTGAGCACTTTCTTTATCTCATAAATATAGCACACCTTAAGAGTATATTTCTTCATATATATATATATATATATATATATATATATATATATATGTGTGTGTGTGTGTGTGTGTGTGTGTGTGTGTGTGTGTATATTCTGTGCTAATAGGAATATATACTTGACAAACACAGTGGATAAAATAAGTAAATGTTTATTGTAAAAAAAAACAGTACAATAAGAATAAAGGTAACAGTTAATACACAAGGTCATCACAAGTGAACCCAGTAGTGAGTGTTACTATTGGAAGGTCGGTAGTTCTCGTGTAAGTCTGAATTGTACACATGTAGATGATATTTACCGGTCTCCCCACAAGGTAGGATATGGCACAAGGCTGAGTTTAATGTGAGTAATCCGAGCCCATAGGCACAGCCAAAATTTCTCTGTAGATCCCATATAAAACAGGGTCAGGTAGCTGTTTCCCCGAGACAAGACTCTGCCCTTTGACATAGCCTCATCTGGGAATCCTCTCTGCTCAGAGGCTGAGAGTTTGATCAGCACAGCTGAAAAAGATTCCAGCAAGATTATCTAGCAACTGCCTCATGCAGTCACATGTGGTACAAGGCCGAATTTGATGTGGAGTTCTCGAGCCCGTAGGCTCGGCCAAAAAATCACCATAGACCGCACATAAATAGGACCATGTCCGTCCACCTCTCCAAACAATACTCTGCCCCTCTGCACAGCCTTGTCCTTTCCGCCCAAAGGCAGAGAGCTCAAACAGCACAGCTGGAAAAGATTCCAGCTAGTGTGTTTACTAACCTCCCCATGTGATCAGAAGTGTCACAGGGCTGAATTTAATGTGGGGTATCCGAGCCCTTAGGCTCAGCCAGAAATTCCCGTATAAAACAGGGGTCAGGTAGCTGTTTCCTGAGAAAAGACTCTTGCCCTTCGACACAGCCTCATCCTGCAATCCCCCCTCCTGGAGGCAGAGAGTTTGACCAGCACAGCTGGAACAGATTCCAGCAAGACTCTGTAGTCCGTTGACTTACAGATACTTATAGATAGCTACTACCTATAGTGTAGTCACTCATGGAGGTGACAGGTTATTCCATTACATCAATATATATATATATATATATATATATATATATATATATACTGCTTATCTTTGCTCTGTTCTTTTCTTTCATTTCCTTTCCTTTGTCATAAATTTAATTTCTGTATCTATCTTTCTATCTCTCTTACTTTCCTTCCTCCTCTCCTTTTCCCCCTGTGTGCAGTGTAAGAACTGCTGCTGCTGTGTCACGTGGCGAAATCGTGTCTAACGATTGGTCGTACGTGATTTTCCCGCTAGTTTTCGACTAGATTAGTGGAATCTAGTCAGTAGTAGCCAGAAAGGAAAAGGGCGTCTTGTCTTGCGACGAAAAGAAACTTGCTTGAAGATAACCTGTTGTTGCTCTGACAAGGAAGAGTGTGTTCGCAGTGTGAAGACGAAGTCGTCTTGTCTTGCGACGAAAAGAAACCTGCTTGAAGATCACTTGTTGTTGCTCTGACAAGATAAAGGGCGCCGCAGTGTGAAGACGATAAGTCGTCTTGTCTTGCGACGAAAAGAAAACTTGCTTGAAGTTTCTGTTCCAGTAATCAAGTGGATTATTGCTAAGCAATCAAGGACAAGCCAGTAAAGACTTATCAAAAAATCGGTTAAAATAATTATTGTAAAGAAAATTTTACAATAGAACATTCGCAAGGAAGTCTTCTTTCGACAATCTGGTCGAAGAGAGAAACAAGTCAGTCAAGCGGCTGAAAAAGCTACCTTCCTTCGAGGAGTTATTTTGTCCTATTGGAGGACGAAATCCTGATATGAAAAAAGTATATGAAAAAAAGATCTTCTAAGAAGTTGAATTTGTGTCGCAGAGAAAGTTTGAAAAAACAAGTCTGCATTTATTCTTAACAGGAATCTTGCTTATCTTCCAAGGAGAGCAACTCAAAATATCTAAAAAAACCTTTCTGCCCAGCTACTAAAAAAAATACTAAAGCTTTTTTTTTAACTGTAAGTCTAATTTTTCCCCTCTTTCTGCTATCTATCTACCTCTTTCACTCTCTCTGAACAGTTATTGAGTCCTTTTAAGGGCTCGCCAAAGCGACGTTTTTGGCAGTTATTTTCAAGTTGTACCAGTGAACTTTAACATCAGTCTATTTTTTCATTTTTTTTTTTTTTTTCTTTTCCCAAATAAATTTTATAGTTATTTCAAGTGGTTTTTCCTTCTTCTTTATCTTGCTTGTTATGGTTGTATATTCATGGTTTCAGGTCTCTGTTAACTGTGTTACGCGGGATTCCCGTTGTTGCAGACCCGGCAGCGTGCAGTGCTGGATTATTACTAAGTGGCCTTGTGCCAGACACCACACTACACTACCGAGCCTACAAGCAAAGTAAAAAAAAAAAATAAAATGCGTGAATGAACAGTGAGGAAAGGGGTCAATCAACAAGTGCATAAAATAAAATATATTATGATAGCCGAAATAAAAATGACAAAGACATCTGTTTATAAAACATGAATAAACAAAACTTTAATTAAACAGTAACGAGTAACTCATCCCAAGGTAGGGATCAATTGTTCCGCGCCAAAATAGAAATTTTTTACAGTTCCGGAAAAGAATGTGCGCACAGATAGAAAGGAGTACTCCTGTGGATATTTTAAGTTGTTGATTATGCATATTTTTAATGTACAGGTTCAGAGTTATAAGAATGTTCGGTAAACAATGAATTGACCGCTGGTAAATGTTCTGGACTGCTGTGTGGGGCATCTAGCCGAGGGGAGAGACGAAGCATGGTCTTGTAGAATGGTTTACGGCGAGCCCAAAGAGAAAGACGAAAATATTTGTTCAAAGTAAACTATCCCTGCCTGTATTATTTGGTTCATCAGGGTAAGTTTAAGTCACCTGTTGAACACGAAGTTTCTGCCGACGAGTGTCGTGTGTCTCTAAAAACGTCTTCTGGTAGAAAACGGAGAAAAAGGTCCTGACCTGTGATTAGCAATTTGTTCGTTCAGTAGGGACATCCCTGCCTATACTTATTAGGGCCCTGTCGAGGGATAAAAATACGCCATTAGTTGCATACGAACTTTTGCTCGCGACAGTGTCGCGTATCTCTCTAAACATCTTCCAGTGGAAAACGGAGAAAAAGGTCCGACCTGTTGGCAGCTTCAAAAGGAGAAAAGTCTTGGTAGAGGTGCAGTCGACATTGTTGAAAAATAAGATATTCCGGCCCGCATATGGATTAAGGGCACCGGAATAAAAAATTTGCCCGTCTACTCAGGTTGAGGACCGGGAAACAACTGGATTGCAAACGTTGGCCGTTTGAAACGCCGCGAAACGCGGGGAAAAATTCAAAATCTATCATGAGTTAATCAGTAGCAGCTAAAAGGAGCTTACTGCTATGTTTAGCTGTGAGTGAAAGGTAGGTGAAAACACGCGCGCACACACGCACGAGTGTGAAAGGAAGGAGGAAACTCGCGCGCGTAAAATTATAAATGGAATTAATGTTAATTCCATACCGTCATTGGACGTAATGACAAAGTTTCCCAACCTTTTTTGTGCCGAGTTTGGCTGTTACTAAGCTAAATTTCGACACCTTTTCTTTGTTGGAAACTTTGCCAATTTTGTTTGTTGGTCATTTTTACATTTAACATGGCCAATTTCTCTACATGTCTCTTTCTGATTTAAATCCTTTTTGTTTGCTTAAAACTTCATCGTTGCTCACATGTTTCGTCCTTGGTATACTGAGCGTTTTTCTTTAGAACCAGATCTCTGTTACCTCAAGATTCCTCTTTCTTTATCTGTGAGAAAATTGTTCATTATTTCCTAAAGAGACATTGCATTACAAAAAAAAAAGGAAAAAACCGTAAATAACAGAAAAGATACATTGAAACAAGGGGTAATAAACTGATGTGCCCTTTAAATGCAGTAACATAAATTTAAAATAAGCAAGATTCAAGATTAGCAATTGAGCGAAAGCATATTTGCATTTTTAACTTTTAAAAAAGAAATAAATAAAACAAAGATCAAGGGAGATAACTATTAAATGTTAATTATAGAGTACTATCACTTATTTATTTATTTATTTGCATATGAGTAAAAAGAAATCTTAGTAATAAAAAAAGAACAAAATGTTCAGCCTTGCACATAATACACTGAAAGCAATGTTATTCAATGGTATTTTGTTCCATCATAATTTTCTCTTGAAGGATGGCCCAACGGGTCACAAGGTCATCTAGAAATTTTTAAATTCCTTCGTCACTGACTGATTATTGAAAAAAAAAAATTTATTTTTTTTACTGAAAATTGAAAATATTTTCATTTATTTTTTTATTTATTTTGGTAGGTAAACACCGGCATCAAATATTATTATTTATAATAATTGACTTCTAAATTAATTATTATACAAGGATTTTTACTTTTTATTTCAGGGAAGTACAGGGGATGAAAGAGAAATGGCTAAAAACATTTCTAACGGGTAAGTGAATTGATTGACGTTATTTTGATTGTCGAAGGGACATAACCCAGGCTAATATAACTAAGGGACATTACTCAAACTAATCTCCATTTCTAAACAAGAGCCAACATTTTTTTTCGCATTATACTGTAATGAAATAACTGAAGCAATCGCTCCGAAGGCATATAGACTATATAAGTGCCCAATCAGTAAGGGGAGGGCAGAATATGATAAGTATGATAAACAACTATCAATGGAATGAGAAAATACGAAGAAAATCACTTTAAAAAGAAAACAATCAGTGTATATACTGTATACCAAAACTTATCTTAAAAGAAAAATAAATATGTATTCTAATAAAGATAAATGTATAATTATAATAAAATTATAATCATATAATAAACAATGAATAGCATAAGAATAAATAAATAAATAAAAAATAATCATCACTTTCCTAAAAAAAACATTTCTTTCTTGGAGTAACAAAAGCAAACAAAAAAAAACATGTCCATTCACTATGGCGTCCAGCATTCTTTTATGTGTATAGCATAGCATTTACAGTAGAATTGGTGAACAGAGGCTATTGTTTTCATTTCACACTAATGCCATTATGAAAGATATAAATCCATCACTTATAATAGCAGTGTAGATTGGGCCTTGCTCTTTAGCCTTGGATAGCAGCCATGGGGGAATGAAAACTTTGAATTCAAATCATTTGAATGTACATATGATGTGGAGTCCAAGAATTAAATCTTATGCAGGCCACCAGTCACTACAACTGATCATCCATCCATTGTCCTGTGCTCCACCTTGCTACTGGTTTTTGGATATATCAAGAAGGTGTATCTGCTGTGCAACCCTTTACTTAAAAAATTTTTTAAAAATTCTTGAAAGAAACTATCATCTTCTCTTGGAAATTCAAACTATTGTTTTCATCTTTTGTTGTTTTGAGAATTGACATTTCAGTTGATGCATTCTCTAACCTTCTTCAGTTGTATATTGCAACCTTTGAACCGAACCCTTTCTTATCCATTAATCCCACACCAGTTAGAAGGAAATGATCATATAGATTCATTTGATGCCTAAAACTCGTCTTTTTGTCTGAAAGTGATTCTACAGAAGTAATTTTTTTTCTTTAAATTCAGAGCCACGTTTATTCCAGAAGGACAAGAAAAGCCTGACTTTTGGAATTGTCTTGGTGGAATTGAATCATATGCCAGTGATAAACCCATTCAAGTAAGTTTGTACTTATTACAGAATTCTCTCTTTTCTTACTCTTTCCTCTTTCCATTTCTCACTTCAAATAAAAGGATTAGGGAGGAAATCTCAATCAATACCAGAAAGAGCAATAACAGCTACTGGACTTGAGAAACCTATTTTCCTGAAAAATTGTTTTAATAGAAAGATTATGATTTTAATCAACAACAGCTCTGGCTGCCTGGTCAGTGAATACTAAATGTTTCCTTATAAGGAAACAGCTAATTGTACCATTATTATTTCTCAACATTAGTTTATTTGTTCATTTAAAAATAGGAAGATATAGGAATGAGCAGGTCAATTTTGCCCCACCCTTAACATCACAGGATTTGCTTTAAAATGGATGTTATAAGGATTATGAGTCTTCATTATCTTTTAATAGTTATTATGTCTTAGGAACAGCACCCCACAAAAAGGTAGCTCTATAGCCATCTACCTACCATGTGACAAGGTATTTAAGAAAGAACGAGATTTGTGGAGCATTCCTGGAGAAGTAAAGATGAGCTTATCAGTGATGTTCTGGTGTCCACAACAGAACATAGTCACACTAGAAGTGGTTACTCACTCAAAATATACATTGGGCAAATATATGAAGTCACAAAACCTACCATATGTGACAGATATTCATGAAGACTGGAGAGAAAGAACTGTTGCACGTATCACCTCTTTTGTTGCCAGGTGTGAAAGTTTTTCAATAAATATTTATGGCTCTTGAAACATTTGTCCCACAAACAATATTTGGTGAACTCACATGAGTCCAGGTAAAAAAATTAAATGCAAAACATGGAATTTACAACAAATGACAACTAATATATGTATTAACAAAAGGAATATGTGAATATTTTTCAGTAAATATTTAAGGGCTTCTTGTATATTTGCTCCACAAACAATATTTGGAAGACTCATGTGAGTCCAGTCAAAAGTATGAATGTATTAACAAAAAGAAATTACATAAATGTACGCTAATTTAAAAGTAAATAACATTAAAAACATAGCTATTATGAATGTGTTTCAGTGTGTGAGTCAGTAAGTGAGTTCATCTGTCATTGGACCGAGAAAAAAAACATTCATTCTTCAGCAGGGATGCCCGGCTACACCCTGAATCAAGAGAAAGAAAATGTTTGTCATTTTATTGACTTAAACAGTGCCACCTAACAGGTGTTTGGCAAAGCCAAGTGGTGTAACCCACAGAAGAGATAAACATGTTTGTAATCAATTGTAGCATTACAAATCTTTCATGCTATTTTCTGTAATATTGATTTTCCAAGCATCGCTTAGATGTGGCACAAGGGGGGCACCCAGTGAGGCTCAAACTCAGATAGTTTCTGTAATATATAAGTTATATATTGTTCATTCTCTAGCAATAAACAGACCCCAAAATTTATTATATAGATAAGTCTGTAGTCTGATGATTTGATTTTACACAACTAATATTTTTCAACATAATTCAGTAGCAAATACTAATTACATGGACAGGGAAAAATTCAAATCAAAATTCATCTAATGTGGTAGACAGCAGATTTATTGATCCAAACTTTTGATCTTTAGAAAATATTTTCATCTTTTAATCAACTATATTTCTGAAGTGATATCTTATAATAAGAAAAAAAATTTATGTAATGGTTGTTAAGTTCTCATCTAACATGTATCATAAAACATCATAATCATCAATTTATGGCTGTTCATTTATTAGCTTTATTTCAATGGACAAGTCAACATTGTTATAAACATCTATATGGTGACAGAAGAGAATAAATGAAACAAGTAGTGCTGGTGAGGCAAAAAGACAAGAATTGTTAAATTCTTTGTATTGGTGATATAGAGGATCAAGGCAGAATATCTTTTTTTGTGGATGAGGGAAGCAACTTAGAGGAAAGGGGGAGTTGGTAGTGCATTTGTTGGGTCACTGATGATGTTGACAGCTTACCCGCAACTGCTAGAGAGTTGTGAGTAGCAGTCTTAAAAGCAGATGGGTGGATCATGACTCAGTGATTTTAGTGGCAATATATATGATTGGCTCCTTTTTATATTGTATTTTATATATATATATATATATATATATTAGAGAGGATTTGTTTTGTGAGCCAAATGTGATGCTCAGAAATCCTGTGCAGAGGGTGACTTTATTTTTTACTTTCTTAGTGTTCATATCTCACCGACAGGTTTTGATGTATAGTGAATTAGAAAGAGATCTAGTTGGAAGCAGAGTATAACAGAATCCTTAAAATACTTAAACCAGAATTGGGCAGTGTGGCATAAATTCTTTCATTTCTTACCACTTTTTTAATTGTATCCATAGCTTTATCAGTCTTGGTGCCCAGTTTAAAATAATGCCTCAAAATCTCAATATTGGTATCCACCATTATAACATCTAAAATAAAAGCTACAGCTTAATAGTACTATGTAATAATAATAGTAGTAATAATAGTAGTAGTAGTAAAAACAATAATATTAATAAGTCCCTAATTGATTGGAGGTATTAATATGTACATATGTTGTCTTGGTTAATCAAAATGAGCTACAGTAAACATCCCATTGAGTATCACAGATTTGCTTGTCAATTGCCTGATCATAATCAGTTGAGCATGTCCCCTAGGGGATGACACACTGTGCATCTCTCTTCATGAGCAAGAACAGTAGAGGAGCATCATGGCTATGTGTCAAAAGGGTTGTGTTTTTAAAGGATGAGGTGGATAAGATGACTTTGGAGTCACATCTAGATACTTAGGAACACCCTCAATCTAAGAACATCTGAACAAACAGGGTTAATTGACCTGTTGGTATTCCTAACTGGGCACAACCTGCAAGGTTATGCACTACTTTTATCAAAACATGTCACCATATTGTGTACATTTGGCTGTGATGAATATATTTGATATACTCTTAACAGACTAGGTTTCATGATGAGTATATCAGAATTTGTAAATTTGTACCCCAATATCACTTTATTGACATGCTGCTCTCTCACGCAATAATAATAATAATAACAATAATAATAATAATGGTTGACTTTGTATCTAATAATAATAATAATAATAATGGGAGTAGTGGGGGTACATCATGGCCGGGTACTGAGAGTGTTGCTTTCCTTTTTAGATTGAAGGATGTGGCAGCTAAGGTGACTTAGTAGTTACATCTAGATACTTGGGAACATCTCCAATCTAAGAACATCTGAGTAGACTGTGTTAATTGACCTGTTGGTATTTCTAACTGGACCCAACCTGCAAAGTTATGCACTGTTTTATCAAAACCTGTCACAGTCATCACATTGTGTACATTTGGTTGTGATGCACATTCTTGATACGCCCTTAACAGATTGGGTTTCATGATGGGTATATTGGAATTTGTAAATTTGTACCCCAATATCACTTTGTTGGTGTGCTGCTCTCTCGCACAATAAAGATAATAACAATAATAATGAGAATGATAATAATAAAGTTGATCAAGACAGATCATGTCATTGAAGCATGAAGATAGGTGCAAATGAAGATAGGAATTTGAAAAAGTCTTTAAAATTGACTAGCTTTTACCAAATACTAGTATTGGTGGGAAATATGCAAATCTCTTCAGTTACACAATAGTTTTGGAGAGTTGAATAAGAGTCTACTCTATAATAACTGGCAACTAAGAGACACCTATCTAAAATATATATAAAATCAACTAATTAAAGGTAGCATGACTGTGTCATACCAGTCTTCTAAATGAGGAGGGTTTAGTTGCTTTGGTATTCAATCTTCAAAATTCTGAATTTTACTTCAACTCAAATACTAATCACTAGTGTGGGTTAAAAATATGCAACACACTCAACCAAAATGTAAGCCAATTAACATATGAAATTAAAAATATATTTAATTTTTCAGAATCGTCAATGGGAACACATCCCTCGTCTTTTTTGCATGACAAATATGTCAAGTATTAATTATCAAATGGAGGAAATATGCAATTTTGAACAGGTGAGTTACACAATCCTTTTTTATTTTGATATTAATTTTCTCCATATTAAATAGACTCAAATTTATTGTTCATCAATTGATGGTAAAAAAGTGTGGATCAACTCAAATTATTTTTATTAGATTTATAATCTTCTCTTCTGATGTATGAGTGTATCAATAAATGATTATTGAACTTGAAATTCTATTTGGTCTTAATGAACAGAGATAGGATCAAGTCTTCTCTTAAAAATATCAATGATTTTTTTTTAAATAAAAATATATTCTTTTAGTCATTACTATTATCTTGAGTTAATTTGAAATGCATAAAAACAATTAAAGTTAAAAATTAATTTAAAAATATAGTAATTATATGCAAACACTTAATTGTATATGCATATATATATATATATATATATATATATATGCATATATTAAAAAGAAAAGAGAAACTGCAAACATTTTTGGTTGTAATATGGATGTTTTTTAAAATATATTATGCTTTATTTTCCATAATTTTGCTACATGTGTTTCTGGTCTGTGACTGTCATCAGGGTGGAGATTTCCACATATTATTAAAAATAATTAAATTTTTCTCCTTTATGTTTTTCGATGTTAAATATTCTCGATATGAGACATCATCTTTTGTTTGTGTTAGTGACCCAAATGTCTTTCTTGAACTGGCAGTATGTGTGTGTGTGTGTGTGTGTGTGTGTGTGTGTTTTGTAGGATGTATAATAGTATACAAAAACAAATGTGGAGATGATGAAACAAAATGGAAAAGCTTCTAAATGATAGCTTTTGTCAATGTCTTGTGTGTTAGCTTCAGCTTCTTCAGGTTGGGATGAAAGATTAAACTATATGTAAGAAAAAATGCATTAAGATTTTTGAGAATAAGTGAGGCAATAAAGTAAAATACCTTATCAGATCCAATGACCAGAAACCACAATGTGTTTAACAGCCGTTGGTGTCTGTTGCATTTCAAATCATCCCAATCATCAAATCATTTTTTCTCTTTTAGCTTTCATACCACACTGTGCTACTATTGCTGTTGCAATGATATTATGTATGAGCCTGGTCTTAGGTTTATTGTCAAGAAACATCAGATTAGTTGTTGGATCTGATAAAGTAATTTAATTTATTGTCCCTCTTATCCTCAAAAATTCCAATGCATTTTCCTTACACAGTTTTGTCTTTCTTTCCACATTGAAGAAAGCTGAACCCAACACACATCACATCAGTGAAACACGTTGTTTTGCCACATTATCTACTTATATATATATATATATATATATGTATATATATATATATATATATATATATATATGTATGTATATATATGTATGTATATATGTGTGTGCATATTATTTGATATTTGATATGATTCTTGTCCAATATAAAATTGCAGCAAGACCTCATTCCTGATGACATCATGCTGTTAGACACATGGGATTCCCTTTTCCTGTGGATTGGCAAAGAAGCTCAACATGATGAAAAGAAATATGCTGTAAAGTCAGCTTGTGTAAGTAAAATAAGCTAAAATAGTCATTTGACTAACCACAAAAGAATAAATCCTTTGTAAATTACACTGGACCCCAAAATAAAACCATTAAAATGTTCAACTGCAGTACATGACTGAAAAAAAAATGAGAAAGAAGAACTTATCCATTTTAATCCATTTTGTAAAACTATTGAAAAAGGCTCCACCATTTTAATTTTAAGGTACCAGCAATAATAGAAGTAATGCCAGTTTTGGTTCATTAAACATTTGTACTTTTCAATCATAGTCAAAAAAAAAAAAAGGAAAGACAGATAAAAGTATGGAAGTAAAGTTGGGCCTAAATAGGAAAATAATAAACACTTAATTTATAAATCTATAAATTTGCACATCTTTATTTCTTGGATACAGTTTTGTTTCTCTTCAAAATTTGTCAAATGCTTTTAATGCAATTTTTTGCTGTTGTTAAGCTAACACACAATTCTGCATACAAAAGATGAATATATCTCAAGAATATATAAAAGACACTTTGTTTCTTTCAGGAATATTTAGAAACAGATCCATCTTGTCGTCCAACTGATGTTCCTATCTACCGAGTAAATCAAGGACATGAACCTCCAATATTCACAGGATTCTTTAATGTTTGGAATGAAAATATCTGGAGGGTAAACTCTGTTTTTGTTAAATATTTGACACATCTTTCAAAAGAAGTCTTATTTAAAAAAAAAAAAAAAAAAGAACAAGAGAGAAAGAGAAACCTCTGTGAGATTTGTCTTTTTAATGTTTTCTTTTTTAAAGTCCAGTTACATTTTTAGTTTTTTACAATGATGTTCACCCAGTATAAGGCCCAAAAGCCACTCAAAGTAGAGTGTTACAGAGTAAGAGGTACAATTTATGGGAATATGTGGGAAAGAATGTAGGCTTCAACAGGTTAAGATTGTAGCAATTGTGGAAGCATTTTCTTCCACAAATCAACAGTTCATTAGAAGAAGCTGCTTGAGTCAAACTTACATCTCACACAATGGAATATAAAGAGAATGAGGGGCTACCTTGAGGCAGTGTAATGGTTAGCAAGCTTGTCTCACTAGAACAGTAGTGTAGTGAGTTTGATCCTCACTGGGTGCCTCCTACTTTCGGCCTTGTACCACATCTAAGCTACGCCTGGAAAATCAATATAAAGAGAATGAGGGGAGTTCACTATAATATGTGTCGTATGGTGATTGTTTTAACCATCAAGGTTAGAACTGGTAGAACTAAGGAGTGTAGTTAATCTGAACAGTTTCCATGGAAAAGGTGATAGAACAGCAAGAGGCTTGTGATGTTTTGTCTGTGAGAAAGGGGTTGTAGGGTAGAAAATAATTCATCACCCACATGACGTGGAGATGCTTTCGAGACTGGAGGGTGAAGACTAGGTAGCTTCTGCCCATTTAAGACAACAGTACTCCATTTACATCCTGATCTGGTTCTTGTCAAGATAGAGGCTAGCAGAGGGAGTCAAGTGTGTACTGAAGCAGTACAGGGAACTGACTATTTTTCCAGTATCATATGTACAAGTTCCACTTGAGACCTAGTTCTAGTATGGTTGCACTCTAATTAGATTGCATTTGGGAAACTAGTTTATAAACTAGTTTATACTATAGATTCTCAATGTCATCAAAAAAAGAGTAATATAAGCAGTAAGGGAGATAACTTTGTCTAGTTACTAATCTAATTTACTGACAACTATCGAATAATGCTTTTTCAGTTGCAATAAAAAAGTAATAAAAAAAACTGAAACGAAAATGAAAGAAATGCTTATCAAAAATTAACAATAATAATTACAGTATAACCCGGATATAAGAGACCCGGATATAAGAGAAACCCGGATATAAGAGAGATTTTCTCTGATCCCAAATTAGAGCCATACTTACCTAAACAAAATAGACCAAACCCGGATATAAGAGAAACCCGAATATAAGACATATATATACATATATATATATATATATATATATATATATATATATATATATATATATATATATATATATATATATATATATATATATATATATATATATATATATATATATATATATATATATATATATATATATATATATATATATATATATTATATATTGGTATAAAAATAATGTCGTTTTTTGACGTTCAACTTCAAAAGATCATAACTCCTTTCATAATACACTTTTATTAATCGAAATAAGAACCATTAGAATCGACAATTTTTGCTAACGAGAAAAAAAAGTTTATTTATCCCATTAGCATAGAAATCCGGAGTTCTGGAAGCGATGAAGTCATTGAAGGCCGATTCAGCATCATCTCGGCTTTTGAAGCATTTTTCGCGTAGGAAGTTGTCGAGATGCTTGAAAAGGTGATAATCGGTGGGCGAGAGGTCCGGTGAATATGGCGGATGAGGCAGAGTCTCGTAGCCCAATTCGTTCAGCTTCTGCAGGGTCAGTTGAGCAACATGCGGGGAAAGCGTTGTCATGGAGGAGAATTGGTCCTTCATATTGACCAATCTCGGGTACATACGTTGGAGCTTCTGGTGCATTTCGTCAATTTGTCGGCAGTACTTCTCAGCCGTAATCGTTTCGCCCAGATTCAAGAAGCTGTGATTTATGAGACTGGCCGCAGACAACCAAACAGTCACCATAACCTTTTTTTAGTGCAATTTCGGCTTCGGTAAGTGTTATGGAGCTTCTCCGGCATCCAACCACTGTGCCGAACGTCGCCGGTTGTCGTAGAGGATCCACTTCTTATCACACGTCACAATCCGCTCGAGAAATGGGTCGTTTTTGTTGCGCAGAAGGAGCGTAGAAGACACCTCAAAACGACGATTTTTTTTTATTATCGTTCAATTCATGCGGCAGCCATTTATCCAACTTTTTTTACTTCCTTATTTGCTTTAAATGGCGAACGACTGTTGAGTGGTCGACCTCAAGTTCAACAGCAACTTCTCGTGTGGTTTTGCGAGGATCAGCTTCAATTAAGGCTTTCAAATGTTCGTTATCAACCGCAGTCGGCCGGCCGCGACCATCTTCATCTTCGAGGCTCCCGTCACCATTGCGAAATTTCTTGAACCACCGTTGTGCCACACATTCGTTAGTGGTTCCTGGGCTAAACGCATCATTGATATCACGAGCTGTCTCGGCAGCTTTTCGGCCTAGTTTGAACTGGAACAAGAAAATCGTGCGGATTTGAATTTTTTCCATGCGGTCGAAAAGCCTGCAAAAAAAAATGAATGAAGAGATTGAGAACGGTAACGAATAACACGTTTCGATAGAGCGAAAAACGCGCTTCAAAATGATATATAACATGGCTATATGAATTAATTCAGAAATCACATATAAAAGTAACATATGTGAGAAAACGACATTATTTTGGCACCAACCTAATACATACATACATACACACACACACACACATATATATATACATACATACATACATACATACATACATACATATATATATACACACATACATATATATATATATATATATATATATATATATATATATATATATATATATATATATATATATATATATATATATACACTAATACTACTAGATTATGCAAATGGCCACATATCAGGCAGTTAGGAAAGATAAAAATGGTTGTTTGGTTGGATTTGAAGGACTACAGCAGGAAGGCTCCATAGCCTAATTGGAAAAGTAACTGTCACAATCTTTGAGGAAAAAGGGATGCAGGTTCAAATTTCACCAGATGCTTATTTTTTTTATCTACAATCCACACTACTTGCTACTAATAGCTGCAGAATGACTGTCAGAGGGTTGTAAAAAAAATGTAATTGGAATTATGATAGAAAAACCAGACAAAGAATTGGTTATAACTGACTATACGATTGGAAAAGATAATGTTAAGATATTTAACTAATTTATGTTTGTAATAATTGTGAAGAATTATTTCTAATAATAAGTTTCAGATTTGTAAATGTATAGCAAACTTCATTTAATTTTGATTCTTTTTCCCCCACTCAGGATGCAATTAAATTTGAACAAATACAAAAGGAACTGAAATTAAACAACATGAATATTCCATTAAATGAAGTGGTAAGTTCAACTTTGTTATTCTTATTTCTTAGCAATATTTTGGAATATCACAAAGAAGATTTATTAAATGCTGAAAATTTCTCACTGTGACTAAGAAAAAATTTTAAAAAGATGATTTTTGGCCTTTTAATCAGGTTTTGGAAGTGTGCCAAGCCAAGAACTTTTCAGCATCTACTTGTTGACCAAAATTTTATTCTCACTAAGAATTGCATAAAGGCTAGAATTTATTAAACAAATATATCAAAACTTTTATTCATTCTAAGGACTGCATAGTACAACAGTAAATTCTTGTTATATAAGTAAAGAAACTTTTTAAAAATGTAACAAAAAATATTGTTGTATTTTACTGTACTGTACTCCAACCTAGTATACAAACACAATTTTTTAGTTTTATCATCACTGTCCATGACTTTTACCCTACTACAAGCCAACTTATTTTCTGCATTGATAAAATATTTCTAACAGTTGGGAAAGCTATCTTTTTGTGATTAAACACTAAATTTTGCACATTTTGACTAAATTAATTTTTGTTAATTTTTTAAATGCAGTGTAATTGACTTTACTATTGAAATGAATTGTAAATAATTTTACCAGAGAAATACATTGAAAATGAGGGTTGGTGTTATTGATGAGCAAGCATTTCTTATCGAACAAAGCTATTATTTTCAATATTTTTTTCAAATTCAAAAAACCCAGTACAATAATCTTTTTTTTCACTACAATGTTTTTTTATTTATAAATGTAGAAGACAAGAGAAAAACTGTAATAGTTGCCGACACGTTTCGTCCAACGTGGACTTTATCAAGACAAAAGACAAAATGAATTTATTAAACGAGGTAACTAATAATAACAAAACAAAATGTCTTTAGCAACTGAAAGAATTTAGAGAATGCTATTTTCATAATGTTAACTGAAAATTACGTCAATTGATAAAGTCAACATTGGACGAAATGCGTCAGCAATTATTTCAGTTTTCCTATTGTCTTTTACATTTATAAATATTATCTTTTTCTACAGGTTAACTCTGAGAAATTTTTCAATGTTTTTTATCATCATCATTATTTATTCATTTAGCATATTTTGTGTTGCTCTGGTCACCACTCTCCTTCATCTCTTTCTGTCTGATTCTGCCCTTACAGCCTTAGCAACCATCATTCCAGTTCATTTCTTCAAATCAAGACATGGACGGTCGTCCCTGGCAGTGCTTGCCCTTCACTGGGCCCAGCAGAATGTCCTTATCAAAGCTGCTTTGTCACATAATATGCCCAAAGTAACAGAGCTTCTTTAGTGTCATCTGTTCTCTCAAATACATACCTTGTTTTGATGGTATATTATTTTGATGGTATATAGTGTGTCTTGCTGTCCATGGCACTTTAAGGACTCTGCGATATGTTCACATCTTGAAAGCATCAATCCAGTGTCTTTCCCTTTTGGTCAGTGCTTACAACTCATATCTGTATCTGGTGTTTGTGATGCCAAAATCAGTTACTCTTCATAATTTCAACTTTAGGCTGATGTATATATTCCTACTATTCCCGATGTTTCCCATTTCTGCCATAGCACTTCTTTCTATTGCCAGCCTTCTCTTGATCACCTGCTTAGAGCTGCCCTGGGTATTGATGATGGAATCCAGGTACACAAAGTCCTCCATCTCCTCTGTCCCTCATCATCCAGGAAGTCTGTGTGGCCTTTATCAATCACCATTATCTTAATGTTGTTGGTGTTTAGCAGAAGACTTCACTGGGCATTGGAATCACTTACAGTTTGTAACAGGGCTGTGGAGTCGGAGTTGTGGAGTTGGAGTCGGAAGCAAATAAGGGTCCCTGGAGTCAGAGTCGGAGTTGGAGTCAGGAAAAACTATACTGACTCCGACTCCGACTGATTTGATAAATTTATAAAGTCACTCTAATTAAACACATTTACAGAATCTATTTATCATGTTAACGTGGACTTTTCTTTCTATGCTGGGGTAGCACCTATTTGATGATCAAACGCTTACTTAAATTAAAAGCTTTCCTGGAAGATCTAGATAACCAGAATGTTTCACTAACTGAAAACCAGTGGGCACAAGTACAAAAACTGCAATCTGAGAAATTAACCCCTGGTGGATTCTTGTTGGAGTGGAAAAAGTTGATATTTAGTCTGAACAACAAAGAAGGATTAATTGCTGATGAGATTGTTCTTTCAATGAAAAGAAGAGAGTCTCTCTTAATGGACAATAAATTTTTGCTAGTTGGTATTTGCGTTAATCCAACGAACTGGATCCTATTAAGCAGTGAACAAACTGATGAAGGAAAACAAGCACTGATTGAACTGGCATATCACATGAAAGAACCAAAGGACCAGTTATAATAATACAGGTTACTCAAGTTAGAAGTGCATTCATAGGCTTTATGAGATATGTAAGCAATAATTACTTAATTACAAAGAGAGGAATCGGAGTCGGAGGTGCAAAAAATAGAGGAGTCAGTTCACAGCCCTGGTTTGTAATAACATCATCAGGCTATTCTTGGAGGTCAAGAAGAGGGTTGTATCATCAGCAAACTGGTTGTTATTAATGTTCTTCCCACTGGTCTTGATGCCAAACTACTTCTCTCCCAATGTTTCCTGCATAATGTCCTTTCTATACATGTTGAAAAACATTGGTGATAGAATGCAGCCTTACCTAACACCTCTTCCTATAGGGAACCACTGTTAAACCCACAGATGTTCGTACAGTGGATTCCTGATTTCTATAGAGACTGCTGATATTGTTTATAATTAAATATATCCTATTTAAAAATTTTCATCAAGTTTAACAAATGTACCCACAAAAAGAAAAAGTGTCAAAAGGAGGATTTTTTTTTCTCTTGGCAATGATATTATGGTATGCTCCCTTGACCATTTTTATTGCTTTAAAAAGCTATTTTTTTCTTTTAGAATTTTAATTAAACCTAAACATTATCAAATTGGATTTACACACTTTCTTTTTTTCTCAAGAACTGACAACAAAATTATTAAACACTATTTATTTACAAGATTATAAAAAATGTGAACCAACTATAATGCAATATTTATTATTTACAATTTTATAAAGAGATACCTATGAAAAGAAATTGTATTTATAAATTTATAAAAATGTCTGAAGAGAACAAGATAATTAAGTAAAAACATAATGACAACTGTAATTATAAATATTGCATTAATAACTTTTTAAAAGATAATTTTTTCCAGATACAAGTACTAGTATTTAACCCATAGCTTGAGGTGAAGAAATGGATCCTGTAGTATTTTATGCAAATTAGATAGACAAGTATAAATAGAGGACAACTGGTGAACATGAAGTGGCTGTGCCTAGCAAGCCCAGTTGCTATTTAGGACACAGAGAACTCTACTATGACTATGACTACTACTACACAGAGAGATATGTAAAACATAACAGATCCATACCTTTCCAAAGGTTATTTGCATGTAAGTGAACGTAACAAACCAGAATTTGAACTTGACTCTCTGATTTCTCATTGCGAGTTACTATGCATTACACCACCTGCACATCCCAGTTCCCGAGACGAGAAATGTATAAATTCACTTTCATTTTAAGATTCAAAAAAGATGTTTTAAAACCAATAAAAATTGCCAAGGAAGTATACAAAGAGAGCAGGGTTAAGAGAAAAGCCCAAAATTCTGCAAAATTCAAATGATTCATTTGATCAAAGACTGACTTGTGATGAGAAATGGATCCTTTATGACAACCAGAAATGATTGGTCAATGGATTGATCATGACAAAGCACCCTAATATATTCCAAAACCAGAATCACCCCAACAGAAGATTATGGTGATTGTCTGGTGGTCCATCATTGATCTTATCCATTACAGTTTTCTGGAATCTAACCAGAGCATCACTGCCAAAGTTTAGTGCAAGTGACTGGATGAAATTCACATTCAATTAAGCAAAATGCAACTGGCACTGGTTAATCGATGGGGTTCAAGGATGATGCTTGGCCCCATATTGCCAGGATGAACCTGCAGAAGTTCATCAAGTTGGGATATAAGACATTGCCACATCCACCATATTCCCCTGATCTCTCACCCACTGACTACCACTTTTATTTTTGACAATTTTCTAAGCCAAAAGATATTCTGTTGTAAAGGAGATGTAGAAACCACATTCAAAGATTTCTTGGTGCACAAGCCAGTAAAGAGTTTTACTGTGAAGGCATAAATAACCTTGTAACTTGATGGCTAAAATGTATAGATGTTCAGGGTTCCTTTTTTGACTGATTTCAACACTTTTGAAATACATGAATTCAGAAATAAAAATTGATTCTAAAATCAGATATTATTTTCCAAACAACCTCATATGTTGGAAACTACTGCTCACTGCAACTTATTTAAATACTAGATTGTCCTCTCAATACAGTTTAGAATATATCAACTTTATCATCTGCAGAATTTTAAAAAATGTTCCTATAGTTTACCACTCCTTTACTCCTTTTAACATTTTGCCACTCAGTCTGAATGAATTACATTACTACTGCTTACAATGGAGGCAAGGGAGGTTAAAAGCTAATTTCTAACTATAGAAATTACAGTATAGTATCTTATAGTTATGAAAAACTAACAAGACCTTGAAAATGTGGCATATATTTAAGCAAATAAGAATATCTTTAAAAAAAAAATAACCAAATAGATCGTCTTTTTAAGAAGATATATCCCAAGCTTAGACATCTGCAAAATATTTATGATAATTTTTGATAATCAGTGACGGACTAGCCAGGATGTCAGCTTGCTTGATGGTAAGTAAATCCCTGATGGAATGTCCCCCATAACAAATTGCAATAAAGAAACAAAAACAGACAACTGTTTTAGTAATTAAAAGGAATAAGAATTTTATAAAATCATCTGCATACTATTAGTTACTCAAGTCCAATGTAAGAGAACATTTCCAAAGCTAAAGATCATAAAGACAAGGTTAAGAAAATTCATTGTCTGAGGAAAATTTGGAATCATGCATTGAAAAGGAATTATTAGATGAATTGGATGCTGAAGCAATTATTGGCAGATTCACACAGTGAATACAAATGATTGCTCTTAATATAGTAAACTGCATTTAATACTCTGATGTGCTTTTCAATTATCTGTTAATGTGTAAATTGTGCAGTAAACTATTTAAAAAATATCAACCAATTACTTAAAATAAGTAAATAAATTAAATTATAACATTCTATACTTACATTTCATATCTATTGCCAGTAATATGTACAGTACATGTCCATTGTAGTTACTAAGAAATAAACATATTTTTGCAAACAAATTTAAATTGTATCATTTTTATTATTTATTCATTATGAAAATTAAATGATAATGTTCTTGTTATGGCTGAACCACTTTATCTTCTGGTAACTAATATTTTTACACCCAGTCCACCACTAACAGAGAAACAACAACTGCATTTTGCTTACAAGATGATCTTGGACAATGAAATTAATGCTTTCTATTGGATTAAAACTGAACTCTTGCTTGAACCAATGTATTGCTTATAACTTAGATCTGATTGAAAAATCTTGTTCAAATCTCTGAAAGTTCTTTCAATGTAAGTCACCAGTAAATGTATAAATTATTTTTCAGCCCTCTGCCAAATACAGCGGCCAGACTTTCAGGGAAGTCCCAAAATTTGCTTATGTTTTGTTGGCTGGGAAAGCCCCAGATATGCTCCCTAGAGAAGTCGATCCAGCTAATAAAGAGGTAAGCACAATCAAATGACTCAGAAGGCTTTACTTAGATCCAATGTCCTATGGGAATTTCATTAAAACACTTTTTTCTACAAATGAACTCTCTTTCTCCAATTATTTCATTCTTTATGAAACTTTAAATAGTTAAAACATTTTATGATTTATTTAAAATGTATGTATCAATAAAATGTATGTATCAATAACATTAAAAATAATTAGATCAATTAAAAATAATTAAAATAAATAAATTAAAAAATGTATAAACAGAAATTTATTAAGAAAATTTAAAAATTATAAAATAAAAATAAAATAAAAATAAATTATAAATAAATAAATATACTTGCCCAAGAATGCAGCCAGTAATTTTAAATATTATGATAATATAAATACTCCTAAAATTCAATTGATAAAATTACATTATTTATACAAATTCCTTTCTAGAAACAAGTCATTCTGACCATCACCATTGTAACTCAGGCCACAGTCAAAAGTCTACACAAAATTGTGTACATATCTTGCCATAAAGATTTAATAATTTATTTCTGTATTTCTATGCATATTTAGGTATTATGTATCTGTGTATAGTTAATTATATGAAAAGTATGTTTATTCATTATTTGGAAATACAATAAATTAAAATTTGTATGTGTACAAATATTTGTTCCCCCAACACTGTATGTATATATATATATATATATATATATATATATATATATATAATTAAAATAATGAGAAAGAGCCAAGATTTATAATCCGGTGTTCTTAATAATTTTTTATTTTTAAAAAACACTGCTGAATACAATTCTGTGAGCATAAACGTCATAAATTTACAAAAACAGAAATTAATCTCTAGTACTAGGCATTTTAATTTAATTCTATAATTATATTTAAAATTTTAGTTTCTGTTTTGAAACATGGTAATTCCTGTGTAATTGCATGGGACCATATTTTAAAATTAGTAAATTCATAATATATATATATATATATATATATATATATATATATATATATATATATATGTATTTTTATCTTAATCCCACTTTTATACATGTTTCGTTAAAATCAACTGACAAGGTACCAAGATTAAAATAAGTGTTTTCTTTTCTGGACACAAAGTGAGTAAAATAATGTCCAAATGTTCTGCATATTCGAACGCTTTCGGTTATTCTTTTAGCCATTATCAAGGGCGAATTTTTATTTTTAACTGAATGTGTGTTTTTATGTATGTGTCTGAAGTTATAGGAATGTTTCATTTTGCAAACATGGTCAGTACATTGTGACCGTGTTCGGAGTTAATGTTATTGAGTGTAATATGAATCTGTATTGAAACAAATATTACTTACTTTTATTTTTAAATATCGCAGAAAAGCATTTTTTAACACAAAGGTGAGTGTTTTGGTCAACGCATGTAAGATAATTCTAATAAAATTATATGACGAATACAACTTAAACTCCTATTTTATATTAAAAAAAAATTAACTCCGCAGTTATACATAAAAATGAAAATATTTGAAGCATTCTAATAATTTATTGAATTTTACTTACTTTGGCTTTATCGTCTTATTTATGAAGACGCTAGATGAGGAAACGATAAATTGCCAATAAATTTTAAATCAACTATAGTTACCGCTCTTATTTTAATGTTCATATCTACAAAATCGATACATATATACCCACACAAAAAAATTCAAATTATTTTTAAAATGATGGAGTCACTGAATTGTAATAAACTTTTCAATTTATGATTTACTAGTAAGTACATTTTTTTTTATTAAATAACAATATCACTTGACTGATAAATTAATACAGAATTTTAAAAAGATTTAAAAGTTTATAAATTATTCTAATTAGAATTTTAAAACATGAAAGCTAATCTTGTAAAAATTCATTATTCATTGAAAAAAAAAAATTTTCTAAAATGATAGTGTCCATAATATATTTTATCCATTTTCTAATTAAATAATATATTAGTTTTATTGCAATTTTATTTTACAATTCCGCACATATTTTCTGTAATGGGGTGGGGGTCCTATTTAATAAAAAAAAAAAGAAAATTGGTGAATTAAAAAAAAAATTGGTGAATTAAATTTTCGTATAACTTGTCCTTATAACTTAAGTGCTGTGAAAAAGAAATTTTCGAAATTTCACAAAATTAAAAGGCGGGGGGTGCAGATGTAAAAAAAAACTATGTTTTTTCCAAAATTTTCTAAAAAGAAAAAGAAACGTTTCAAAAATAATTTGATTAATTTGTGAATAAGTCCTGAAACTTTCATTAATATCCCACAATTATCACATTTTTATAAAAGTTCCTTAATCAGCGTCTCTTACATCGCAAAAATACGCTCAAATTTATGATCCAACGTTTACGCCAAAATACAAGATTTTTAACCAAAATTTCGAAGGATTAAAAAATAATTTTTAATTACAGAATCCTTTGATCTTAATAATAACAAAGTTTGTTTATATTAAGTACTAGCAGTAGAGCCCGGCGTTGCCCGGGGATATAACAGTAAGAGATAGATCAAGTATCCACCATCATAAAGACTGAAAAATAAAATTGACAAAGATTATTGTTTAAGGTTGACGGACACGCATGTCTTAATTAGTTTTTTTTTTTGTTGTTGTTGTTTTTTTTACGAATTGGTCAAACAAAAACATTGTTTTCAAGCATTATGAGTCTCCCGATTGAATAGAATAATTTTATAAACAATTGTCTTGTAAATGGAATTTTTAAAGCATTCTGAATGTAAAAAATAAAGAAAAAAGTGTGCAAGACAATAAGAAACACTACATGCCCCCAAAAAAAAAATGAAGTTTTGTTGAAATCAGTTTGAAAAATATGATAGCCTTTCTGTAATCTTTTAGTTTTACAATTTATGATTTTTACTTATTGAATACAATAAAAAAATTGCATATTTTGCTTGTGGTGATTCATAATTAGAATTCTGATTTGAATATATTTTCCACTCGTTGTTTCTAATACAAAAAATATTAACTTTATTTGGGTTTATTAATTATGATCTAACAAATCTTATTCATTTAGTAGCCTTTCTGTAATAATAATCTTTTACAATTTATGATTTTTACTTATTGAATACAGTAAAACAATTGGACACCATGTTTATTTAAAGTAGTTTCCCGTTCCAAGGTTATTATTTTTTTAGTTAGGACTTGTGTATTTTAGATTTCATTATCTTTCCTAAACATAAAAATTTATTCAAATGTTTGTATTCGTACAATCAGTAGAGATAGTTAGATTATTGTTTAAGGTTGACAGACACGCATGTCTTAATTAGTTTTTTTTTTGTTTTTTTTAAGAATTGGTCAAACCCAAACTCAAACAAAAACATTGTTTTCAATCGTTATGAGTCTCCCAATTGAATAGAATTTTATTATAAATAATTGTCTTGTAAATGGAATTTTAAAGCATTCTGAATGTTAAAATAAAGAAAAAAAAGTGTGCAAGAGAATAAAAAACTACCTGCCAAAAAAAAAAAATAAAGTTTTATTTTATCGGCTGAAAAATATAGGAAATACGCTCCCTATTTAAAGGAACCCACACACAAAAACAACCCGATGAGTTGTCCTCCTTCCATTTTTCACGATGTCTCTTAATTGTGTTTTCAAATTGATTTTGTGCAAAAACAATTATTTTTCCCATTTTTGGCGCTGTTAGAACATCGGTTGAAAAATGCAGGAAATCCGATCCAATATATAAACGTTACACACACACACACACACACACACACACACAATCTGCGTTTTATAATAAGTAAGATGCTTGGAGAGAAATAGTTAAATAACTGGCAAATTCGGACGAAGAAAGCAGTACGCAAATTAGAATACGATAGACTCCTGAATGACCCGAATGTGAAGGAGAAATATATGGACAATTTTAAAAAAGAAGGTACAATGGATAAAATGAGAGTGGAAACTCGAAGTGGAATACATGAAGAGAAGCTTTAGTAGCATCAGCGATCAAGATCATCCCAAAGAAAAATAGGCAAAGAAAAAGCAATGGATGACGGGTGAAATTCTCGACATGATAAAAAAAGAGACGAAAAACAATGCCAATGTACGGCACAGAATACATCACTCTGCACAACGAAATTAGGAACAACTGCAAAGCGGCTAAAAAGGCATGGCTCAACGAAAAAATGTGCAGAAATAGAAAGGAGGAGTTTCACAGATAAAGTAGATATGCATAAAAAAATGAGAACAAGACGAAATATATACTCAACAGAATGCATAAAATACAGAGACAGGAAACTGATATTAGAGAAAGAAAAACACTTCAGAGATGTAAGGAATACATCAGAGATTCCTTCCATAAAGAAAGAGAACAAGCGGAGGAACCAAAAATATTAAAATCTGAAGTGAAAACAACACTGGCCAATTTGAATAGAAACAAAGCAGCAGGAACAGACGGAATAGTAACAGAAATGCTGGTTAATATTTCTAATATAATGCATATGTCGATCTATATATTTTCTTTCTGACATTCGATATGTAGGCAAACATTGTTTCAATACATCAACTAAATAGCATTTGATAATAACAAAAAAGCATTTTATTACTTCACGTTACAAAAAATGAAAAAATATTTTTCTTACCGCACAAATCGATTTATTATTCCCCTAAAAAACAAAATAAAAAAAAAACTTTTAATCCCAAAGAATAAAATCTTTTATTGCTCTTAAAAACAATAAACCCTTTTTATTAGACTGCATAAAGCATAATAAAACTTTTTATTACCCCTTCAAACTAATAATTTCTTATTACTTCTCAAAAATAATAAAACCTTTTTTCCGCAAAAAAAAATAAAACGTTTTGTCACTCCCTCAAAAATAACCCCTTCATTATATCTCCCAAACACAATAAAAGCTTTTTATTATAACCCGCAAGAAACAAAATAAACTTTTATTATCTCTCTTCCCAAAATAAAACATTGTTCATTATCCTTAAAGAAATAAAGACTTTTTAATAGCCACCACCCCCTGCAAAAAAAAACAAAAAACAATTAAACCTTTTTATTAATCCTTACAAAAAAGTCCTTTGTGTCTTCGAAAATTTTGTTTTGATCCCTTTTTTTCCTCATTTTTCAGCTTCATCTGACAGACATGGAATTCATGCGTGTCTTCCAAATGACGTACATGGAATATTTTCAACTTCCTTTATGGAGAAAGCAAGCCTTGAAAAAATCTTTAGGTTTGTTTTAAGGATTAATCTAAAATAAAGAGGAAAAAACAGAATCATATGAAGCATGTTTTGACTACAAAACTTCCGCACACAATCAACATTCCTAATTTAAATAAAAACGTTAAATTGTATTACCAGTGCAGAAAATTGAGACATATACAAGGATGTGTTGAAAAGCATTCGGCTCAGTCCAATTCCTAAAATCTGATCAAATGAACAAATATCATTTTTTGAGAGGGGGTGGGGTCTTGATTAGACATTTTTAAAAAAAATATTTACTGATAGTTCACCTGATACAAGGTACAAGAGCCACTCAAAGTAGAGGGTTACTGAGTGAGATTGTAAGTGAAGGGGAAGTAAGATAGTATTATGAGTATGAGTAGGATGGATATTGGTTGACCCTGGACTTAAAGAGACCAAGATTGAAGTTCTCAGGGAAGCATTCTCTCGGGAGTTTGTTTCACAAAATAACAGTTCTGGGGAAGAAGAAGATGGAACTTGCTTTTTATCAAAGGAACACAAAAATGGGTGAAAATGGTTTGTCACCATGAACACGGCAAGGTGAGTCCTAGCTATGAAGATTTGAGATGGAGGAATGTAACTCGTCCGAACATTGGCCATAGCAATAGCAATATAGATAAAAGGCTGGCGATGTTTCGTATATATGGAATATGAGTTGCGAGGTGGAGAATGATTAAATACCCATAATGTAGTGTGAGCGCTTTGAACTCTGTTAGGCTGGACAGTAAGGAATGGCACCGGTCAGATTAACGCAGCAATACTCATTCTTGGTCGATCTTGGCTATAAAGATATAACTTATGGCGGCGGGGAGTTACGTTATTTTCTGGAGCGAAACGAGGAACCAAACCATTCTCCAGCATCTTTTGAAAGCCAAAGCACGAATACGCGCGTTCAATACTGTTGCGTCAGGGTGAATTTAAGGCTTGATGAGGGATTCGAGGCAAGAGCCCCTTGAGGATGACCCTCTGGCAGTGATGAGGGTTTATGAATGTCTTCTCGTTGGTGATGAAATGTTGGGGTTTAGTTTTGACGTGATAGATATCAATCAGTTTTTCCCCGGTGAGCTGTGAATGAGATCAGAGGAGAGATCGGCTGTCAGGCATTGGTCATCAAGCTGTTTGAAGGTGCACCCATACACTGTGCTATCATGTGCATATATATTTAAGGATATTACGAAAGATTTGGGATCTTGAGATTGTTCTTGGGCAGATCGTTGATATGAAGCAGAAAAAGGACAGAACCAAGGAGAGAGCCTTGGCGGATGTAAGCATTGATCTCATGTGCCTCAGAGGACCGGCCATTAACAATGACCTGACAAAAAAGACTTGATAACTGAGAAGACTCCCCAGGTGATTCTATAGCTGGTCAGATTGTGTAGCAATCCCCTGTGACACACCTTATCAAAAGTCTACTTATGATCGATGTTAAAATAATTTCTTAAGTCTAGCTTAATTTGGCACAATACCACAAGTATGGAGTAACCAGTGAAGATCGAACTCACTACTCAGTTGTAATTGATCTAGCAAGACAAACATGCTACCCATTATACCCTGTCGAAATACCCTTATGATAGATTTTGTATTGTATATAATAACTGATTTTTTTCATAATATACACTCTCCTAAAAAAAAAACTAGAGTAAGCAACCTTTTGACAGCTTTACAAATGTATGGATGCATGAATTACGTTCAGCAAAATTTACCGTATATTACTTGTGTATAAGGCAATTTCATGTATAGTGCGATTCCTGAATTTGTTGGCATGAATTTTAACTGTGTATAGTGTAACCGGTTATCGAAAATTCATGATTTTTAATCTCTTCAAAAAAAAATAAAATAAAATAAAATAAATAAATACCTGTGTATAGTGTGACCTATTTTTTGTGTAAAAAGTCAGTTAGTCAAACGTCGATCATGCATTCTTTCGATACACAACTGACTTGGCAAATTTTTCCCGCAGGAGGTTGCCGTTACTTTCTGCGGTAGACTGGTTGCCCAATCTGCTATTCAAGCCATAGCTAGGGGTATTTGCACAAAAGTGAATATAAAGAACCCGACTGGAATTTGAACTCGGATCCCCGATCTTTCATTCCGAATCGATATCCATTACACCACAATGCAATGCACTGTGCAGCAAAAAAAAAAAAAAAAAAACTGATCACCAAAACTCGTACTATACTCGAGTATATGCGGTATTTCAATAAATTAGAAAAAAATAACAAGGTAATTTTAAGATATTGTAAAACAAATTGCCAATTTAATTATGATGTTCCAGAGGAATATAGAACAGTTTTCGCAGAAGAGTTACTTTTTTCTTCTTTTACTATTTATTTATTTTCATCCTATCCTAAAATACAAATACATAGGGTTAATTTATATCGAATAGACTTTGAATGAAACTATTTACATGTAATGTTAGTAACATTTGAGAAAAGTACTAAGCTAAATTTTTCATACGTAAAAAATGTTTTAATCACTTCTGGCTTCCGTCAAATTAACGCCGATCGAATCGAGGGTATGTCTTGGGGGTCTTTCTTGGAAGATTCCATCTTCTTCGTGCGAGGGTGTAAGGGATTCTCCCCACCCCCTTGTAGGTCTGGAAATTATATAACTTTCTCTAATCCGGTTGTATTGTGTATCTACATCCTAAGTTCAGCTGGGTTAATTTTCTTGCACCCACCGACATCCTTTGAGGCCAGATCCTGCACTTAGTAGCTTTGGGGTTACCTTCTATATCAACCCTTCGGAGCTCCTAGGTCATTTGACTTTCTGAGAGGATACTGACTACAAAATTTATATTGTTATATTTTAGAGTAAAACCCAGTACATACTGAGGTCACCACATATCAACTCTTTTTAGATAAAGGTTCTTAATGGATATTATATTCGATTTAGACCACTGGTATTACTTGACACGAGCCATATTTTACTTAAAAATATCAGTAAAGTGTAAAAAATACATTCATGGAAAGTGAATGGAATTTTTTTAGCCATCTTCTTATAATAATATTGATAATGTAATATGAAATATGCATCAGTATTTCTAATCTAAAGATCAGGACTTCACCCCTAATCACAGGAGATATAATAGAAGAAAGAAAATTGGAAGACAGTTGTAAAGATTAATATTTGTATAGGACATTTTTGTAAATGGTTTCTTTTCTTTTATTCTTCTTACAAAGAATACAAAAAAAAAATTGACAATTCTTCAGTTGTGAATTGTAGGCTCACGTTGTACGACAAAAAACTTTTTCCCCATTTTTTTAAAACGGCATCTTTTATTCTTCTTACAAAAAAATCCACAAATTTTGATAATTGTTCAACTGTGAATTTTAGACTCACTTTGTATACCAAACATTAACTTTATGTCCATTTTTTCCATCGTCTGTAAAGCAAATTTCAGCAAATATTCGAAAGCATTTTTTCTCATTTGTTATTCAAAATATTTCCCCTGGGCGATTTATTTTATATAACAATAATAAATTACAACTAAATTTTCCTCTCTTCACTCACTTTGTATTATTTACTTGACACAAATGATTCCATTCATACAATTTGAAGAATGTCTGTTCATGTGTAAAGCTCTAATTTCTTTTCCATTCCAGAATTTCATGTTTCATTGTATTTAAGACAATAAATGACGATATTTATCATCGGTTATTTTAGCACCGAACTCGCATTTAAAGTTTTTATTATTATTATTATTATTATTATTATTATTATTTGATTTTAAGTTTCTGGAACAAGCAAAAACAGTGTAACCGCTATAACTTTGAAAGACAAAATATATGATCTCTCATCCGATCTAGCACTAACTTCCCAGTGGGGGAAAAACTGGCTGGTTACATTCAATGCCTCAAAAACCAAACTAGTTACAATTCATCATCGTCGATTCGACCCCGAATTACCGCCAGTCGTGATAAACGGATGTCTCCTCGAGGAGGCGCTGTGCCTTGGGAGACTCTTAGGACTTAAACTCACACCTGGACCCAAGTCGAACTCGTAAATATGATCCATCGATAAAGATGCATGTAAAATGGCGGCTCCCTGTACCGCTCTAGTAAATACCTGATTTCTATGCTATCCTACCTCGATAATCAGCCGAAAATAGCATGTTGTCATATTTAGGCGGCTCCCCTCACTTTTCCAATTTCGATAGCCGCTCTTATGGTAAATTATTTCAACCATAAGCTCTCTCTCTCTCTCTCTTCCTCTCTCTCTCTCTCTCTCTCTCTCTCTTTCTCTCTCTCACAGACGGGATATGCAAGCCTCTTGCTGCTCTATCTCTACTTCTACAGAAAGTGCTCGGACAAACCATATGCCAGTTCTAACCTTCCCGGCTAGGACCCGCCATGACACTTACACGTAGCAATCCTCTCACATTTCCTCTGTATTCCATCGGTGACAAACTCGAACAGATTTTTCCCGCGAACCACTTCTCTGTGAAACCGGCTCCCAAGAGGAAGTTTCCCCGATCACTACAATTTTTACATGTCCAAGTCTAGGGTTAACCGTTACCTTAACGTAACTCTCTACTTCGAGTGGTCCCGGGCCTTGTACAAGATGAACCTTACTGTAAAAAAAAAATTCTCAAAACTTTAACATTATTTCTCAAATGTCGTGCCTTTGCGTTCGTACGTGTGTATAGGGTAGCGTAAATGTGGGAATGGCGTAGCAAGTTTTAGCTGATGCCGTGCGTTCACTTTCGTTCAATTTCACTTGGAAATATATGAATTCAATATTTTCTCCTAGAGAATATACGGAAAATCAGTATCGGACTGGTCAGATTGCTAGATGGCAAGTGTGCCCCTGATAGAGTGGGCCCCCTATATCAAATAAACATACAATAAAGAAACAAACACAGACAATTGTTTTAGTAATAAAAAGGAATAATAACTATAAAGTCACCTGTACATTATCGGTTACTCAAGTCCATAGTGAGAGGACATTTTCAAAGCTAAAGATCATAAAGACAAGGTTAAAAAATTCGCTGTCTGAGGAGAATTTGAAATCATAAATATTGCTTTCTATTGAAAGGGAATTTTTAGATTTAATTGGACGCAGAAGCAATTATTAACAGATTCTCACAATGTGAACACAAACAATTGCTCTTAATATAGTGGACTACATGCAATGCTCTATTGTGCTTTTGAACTATCTGTTAATGTGTAAATTGTACAGTAAACTATTTAACAATATCAATCAATTACTTAAAATTAAAAGAAATAATTTAACTATAACATTCTTTATTTATATTTCGTATCTACTGCCAGTAATATGTACAGTATATGTGCACTGTAATTACTCAGAAATACATATTTTTTCTATAGAAATTTGAATTGTACTCTTTTTTCCACATGTATTTTTTTGTTTTATTTATTAGTTATGAAAATTAAATGATAGCGTTGTAGTTCTTCGTAGGCTTCCTTTGTCTCCTGGCAACCAATGCTTTTTGACCTAATCCAGCACTGGGGAGAAAGACAAAGCAGTTTGGAGTGGAGTTAGTAACTCCACTCATTTAGAACCTATCTAATTACTTGACAAGGACATAATCTACCGCGTCCATTTTCAGCTGCGTTTACGATCGTCCCAAGAAGGCAGCTAAGCAAGTATCAAGTTCAGAAAATTAAGCATTTTTTCAAAAATTATATTTGCTTGAAAAGAAAAAAGAAAAAGAAAGAAGAGGTCTCTTGAATCATTTTCATGTTTTGAAATTTAAATATAGCTTACCCATTAGAATGGGATATGTCAAGTCAAAAAAAACAGATTATGTGATATTATCTCCCTTAGATGAATAGGATCATACATTATCTGTTTTCCTCACAAGCTGAACACATTCAGTAGCTGATCAGGGTGACCGCTTTGGAATACCAGGTATTGAAAGCTTGGATGTGCGGGTGGTGTGATGGAAAATGACTCTGAATGAGAAATTGGAGAGACGAGTTCATTACATTCACTTACGCGCAAATACTCTTGGGAAAAGTAATGAATCCCTCACTTCTCCCCTCATCTATGGATAAATAGCAAGATAAACTTGGTTGGCAGCCTGTCTATAACAGAAAGTAACTGGAGGAATTCTTCTGCCAAATCAATTATGAATCGAAAAAAAGAAATGATCGCCCAAGTCTGCGTCACGTATGGCACCTAAGGAAGGAACCGTCAAAAATAAAATAAAAACAAAAGCGCTAAAAAAAGCTGAAAGATATCGATTAATATAACTATATATATATATATAAGGGTCCAGTATACCCTGACGATCTGTGTAGGTGAAACCTAGATAGGTTTACCTGGCTCTTTAAGTTTATATTAGGTTTTTTCTACTTAGTGTATTGAGCACTTTACGAAGTTATTTTTACTCGTTTTGGAGGTTTTTTTTTCTTTGGAGTCTGGGCTTGAATTCTGGACGATCGTTTTCGCCTCAATTTCAGGTTCTTAGTTCTTTCTTTTTTTGTCCCTTATTTTTTCTTGGGCATTGGTTTGTTCAGTCACAAGCCGAAATACCTAAGGTTTTTACAAACGAGAGCCACTATATATATATATATATATATATATATATATATATATCACCCAAAAGTCAAAATAGCTACAACCGAAAGAAAAGAGGAAAAAGAGAGATAAATATCAGTAAGGAGTGAGTATAAAGTGAAAAAACGACGAAAGGGAAAAATAACCACGCTTTCTACCCGTGCGCGGGAATTCACACATACACAATGAAAAAAAAAACTTGTATCAATGAAAAGTGCCTATAAAAAGAAAAATGGAGAAGTATAAGCAATCAATTGCTGATACCCTGACGAGGCAGTGGAGTGATTCCCAGGGGTTGCGTCTACGAAACTATGGAATAGAGATGCTGAAGGTAACATCAATCAGCTAAGGACAAACCTTTTACTCGTGTATATATATATATATATATATATATATATATATATATATATATATATATATATATATATATCAATCCTTCTTTTATGCTTGCTTCGTTGAATATGAAGAGACAAAGGATATTTTGTAAGCTTTTTATTAAGTTTTTTTCAGTGCCTTTTTTTTTTTTTTTTTTTTTTTTTTTAGTGTAAAGGAATTATCCATAGTGTTCATTTTCCCAAGCGCTTTCGGCTAATTCTCTAGCCATTTTCAAGGTGGTGGTGGTGGGGATCGTAATAACAAATATTGTTTATGCTGTGTTGTAGGAGAGTAGTAGTAATTTCATTCGGAGTGGAGTTTTTGTTCAGTTTCCAACCAAGACACCCTGCCGATTTTTTTTTTAATGCTATTTAGAATAGGGCTGGTGCTTTTTAATGGGAGTGCTTTTAATATCCTCAAACAAAATTTGACCAAATGACTAAACATCAGTTGGTAGGTTCAACGAAGAAATTTTCAGCACCCTCTCATATATATGTGTGTGTGCCTTTTTACTAAGTTCACTTTATACAAGTCCCAAGAGCTACTCAAGGTAGAGAGTTACTGAATGACGTTGCATGTACGTAAGAGGGGGGAAGTAAATGTAGATTGTGAGGATGTGTAGAATAGATAATGGTTAACTCTAGACTTGTAGAGTTTAAGATTGTTGTGATCAAGAAAAATCTTCTCGAGAATCTGTTTTGCAAAATAGTGGTTCTTGGGAAGAAGTTGTCGGGATGGAATTTCCTTCTAATAATAAAATACGAAGGGAATAAGGACGATTCGGCCATTTGTACTTGGCATAGTGGGTCTTAGCAAGTAAATGTCTGAAATGATGGAACTAGAGAATGTAGCGCGTCTGAACACGCACACACACAAACACACATTGAGTTTAGTGCACATGCATATGTGTGTGTGTGTGCACGAGCGCATATATGTGTGTGTGCATTTGTTCTTAAAAAAGTTCTTAGAAAAGGCATAAAGATTTATGTTGTTGACCTTCTGGCTTCCAAGTGCTTGCAAATTAGTCCCGTTCGCTTGCAAACACAAATTAGAATGTCCCAAGGATTAGTGTTTAGTTGTTAAAAAAAAAAGTAAAATTTGGAAGACGAGTTTTCACTTGGAAATTTGGCACATCACAATCTTTGAAGCCCGCTGTCAACACCACTACCATCATCTTCTGTCAAGACAGCCTTATGTTGTACTAAGCAAAAGTTATCAACAATAACAACTCCTTATGAATACTCTTTCGTATCAACACACAGACAGAACCACTGAGACACTTCATCTTCTCTTTTAGAGATACTGATGTCTTTTTTTTGTTTTTCGGCTTTGCAGATGCTATTTACTTTACATTGGTCATTTCGGACATTTTTCACATTCCAGACCACTGTCATGTTTCCTGAAGAAATACACCTGATCATCACACAGTTCTGAAAGTCCATATTCTTTCCAGGATTTAATTCCCCCATTTTTAAAAAAATATTTTTCCCGTTCTCCTCAGTTATTTCTTACGAGAGAGTTTTTGGACCTGACACCAATTCTGTGATTGCTCTCTGTTTGTGGAAGATATTGAAGTTAGAATCCAATGCTGGAGGTCGATGGCGGGCACTTCTCTGGTGAGCTCTTAATCCTGCCAATTGGGAATAGGAACTTTGGCAAACGGTGCATCGGTAGGGCTTCTCACCTAAAATCATAATTTTAAAAGAAAATATTAGGAACTAGCTATTTATGTAACCCGCGATATCACGGGTAATATTTATTAAACAAATACGCCAACATTTTTATTCACTGTAATAATTATATATTAATGACAAAAATGCGATTCGCCGTGCAGTAATGGTTACCAGGTAGTGAGTTTGATGCTCACTGTGTGATCTACAAATGTAATCTTAAGCCAGATTACAAGCTAAGCTTAGTAAATGCTTTTATGACAGAAGAAATAATAAGTTGTATTTTAGAACCGACAGGCGAGTTTTCGGCTTTATTATCGCTGACTACTGATTTTACTACGTTTCAACCACTTCGTGGCCCAACTGTATTCATTTTCTGAACCAACAAACTAAAAACTGTACGGGTTGTGAATTTGTGGTTCAGTCTGCCAAAGGGATTTGTGCTCTCGACTCTTGTAGATTACACGAGGTCATGTAACGTTGTGTGAAATTGACTTTGCAATCTTTACAATGACTGGCAAATTTAAAATACGGACATTAGTTTTTGAATTATAAATCAGCTATCGAGGTCCTTGAAATTCTTTGTCGAACACAAGTTTTTTAGTGTCACATATGTTTCAAGACCGGCCGAGTGTTGGTTGAAAATTATGAGCGTTTAGGCCGACCAGTCATCAGCAAAATGCTAGAATATATGGGAGAAAAAGTCGTGAACTCATTCATATGGACCCGCTCGAACCATCTATCAGATTTCTAACATGGTT